GACGCACGCCACGTTGTTGCCGCCGCGATGCACCCAGTCGACGATCAGTGCCAGACCCGGGTTGATGTCATCCTCAAAGTCACGCACCTTCTCCTTACGATAGCCTGCGTGAGCAGAAGGTGAGTTCAGTGACGCAACACACTGTCAATGCCTGTACGTAAGTGTCACTCAGGGCAACTCTTTTGAACAAAAAACACGAGCGCAATGTGATGACCAATGACATTGCACTGGGATGAGAATTTTTTTTTTTTTAGCTGAAACCAAAAAATAAGCCAGAGGGGAAGGGGGAGGGTCCGATGCACATAAACAGCCCAAGAAGGGTGAGCCACTGGCAACACCTACCGAGCTTCTTGGCAAGCGCGGACCAGTCGGCTCCCGGAGTGGCGGCGTTCAGCATCTTCGCAGCCCCTCTCACCCAGTGCGGCAGATCCGTCACGACCGACTCAGTGTTCCTTGCCTGCTGGGCTATGACAGCCTTGCTGATGGCCTCAATAACGGGCCCATCTTTTACTGTGGAAAAAAGTGATTTGAGTCTTTTTATTTGACTTGACTTTACTCTACAACTTGACTAACATATGAATATCACCATGAGTATATCTATACTGTATGGTACAGGTGCGTTCTTGATATTAGGTATGTTGTTTTAAAAATATCTCAGGAATTTAGTTTTGGACCAAGCATGCCACGTGGGCAAAAATGTAAATATTTTCATGGAAAGAAATAATTTCACTTGAGGGTCATACAGCTAATATCTAATTTGACATCATAATCACTTGACTGCAGGACTTAACCTCAATATCTCTAAAAACGTGTGAAATTTCTCAAATTCAATATCTCTTTATATACGTGTTATTTATGTATAATTAATAGTCAAACTAATATAAAAGTATAATTACCAAATGGCGTCGGTGAGGGGAAAATTTTTCTGAAAGGTGCCGTTTTAATTCTGCGGTGATCACAGCTCACAACCTGTGAAATATAAATTTCCATTAAAATACTCATTATTGAAACTTGAAAAAATATACCAAATTTATGCCATCTCAATAGATAACCAAAGTGGTCACATCGGTCAACTGTTAATTATTAATAAACACTCCTGCATCCCCATTCTTACCTTAACCTCTGCCCCCCCCCCACCTGCATCTCACCCTGTCTGTCCCTTCCCCCACCCTGGGTCCCTCGCATGCTGCCTTCCCACTCAGCCCCTCCCTCCCTTACACTCATCACCTCTAACTCACCTTGTTCGACAGACAGTCGTCCAGCGGCAGGAAGTGCACGCAGGACTGCTCGGTGCAGGCGGCGCGCCGGTGCAGAGCGCACTCGCGGCTGCAGCCGCACTGCACCATCGTGCGGTAGCTGATGCGCCACATCCACACCTTCTTCAGGTCCTGCAGTGCGAGCTCGAGGAAGCGGCGCACCTGCGGGGAAGGAACGCGCGCGCGTTAGCGCGATGCGGAACTGCACGGTGACGTTGACCCATCACTAGCGGAAATAACTCCAGGGTTGCCATGGCGCGGATTTCAGATTCATTCATTCGGATAGAAGTCGAGACGAAGACTTAGCATTGGAGAAGCCAAAATGAAAGCGAAAGTTTACAAACGACAATGGAATTCAAACAGAGCTGAGAATTGAAATTTATGAAATTTATATTCAGCACTAACAGAATCAGGTTCGCGTTGAAGAACAATAGCAATAACTGGAAATAATTGTTTCACACAAATCATGTGATGAAAGGCAAAGGCAATTGGGTAACGAATTAACAAACAAATATATTTAAACAGGAGGCCTGCAATATTTCTGTACTAAAACGTGTGGTGCCAGTGAGTTAGCTTCCAGGGCTTCGGCAAAAATATTTAACGCTATACGCCACATGGCAACGAATAAGAAACGTTTCGACATCAGCTTCTCCTAACTTTTCCTACCTCTCAAAATTTAATCTAAGAATATATAAAGAATGTAGTATTGGGAGGAGAGACTATGCACAATAAACAATACTTGATGCCTTACCTCAGCACATGCGTGGGGTTTCGGGGGAGGAAGGTTGTCTGTGCCAACTTCCATATCCTGCTCCTCCTCATCATCCAGAACGGCAACTCGAAGCACTAGCACCTGAAACATCCCAACACGTCAAACGTACATGCATACACATGCACGCACGCACGCACGCACAACACATGCGCACATACGAACCTACACACACTACGCGCACGGCACAAAGCACACACACGCACGCACGCACGGTCACACACACGGAACGCCAACGCACAGGCACAGGCACGACGCACGCATCGGCAACGTACGCAAACGCAGCACGCGCACATGCACGACCTATATACCAACACGCAAATGCGCTCACGGGCACACCGCACACATACAACGCATGTCCACACACAACGCCCGCCCCCCTCCACACACACACACACACGGCCCCTCCCACACACACAGCCCCACAACTCGGCGCGTGTTTGCGCGCGTATTAGTAATACACACCACACAGCACACACACGTACCTGCACACTGCGCTCTCACGTGCCTATACACTCTCACCCATGTCTACTGACTGCCAGTTATCACATACGTGTTCTCTTACTCACATCTACAATACCACCTACAGTTATTACCACCTGACCTTATTAAGCAGCACTAGCACTTATTAAAACTGTGTAAAAAATCAGATGTATATACCTACACCACGTTTACTGCCTACAGTTTTTTCCCGACCATACTGAATATGCTCGATTCTTGCTCAATGATAATACGCACTTCTTTTCACCATATTTATTTTCCCACCTTGGCTTTTTTTACCAGTATTTGGCTCATTAACGTATACATATATTTATGTACATTGCAGACATATCTGTAGGACAGTTAAACTTCCGATAAAATGTCGATTCACCTGCAACACTGACCGAGACGGGAATTACACCGACGTGGCGTACGCACTACGATCGGTACCTTTATTCGTGAATAATGCAAGCTGGACATCTCCAGCACGAAGTCGTGTTCGTCGTTGACGTAGAAGCGTGCGACGCGGTAGTAGAGCTTCGGCTCCCGCCCTCCATTCTCCTGACTCCAGCGCACAGCTCTGATTAGCAAGCGATGAAAGATGCCATCTGCAAAAGCAGTGCGTACCATCGTATCACGTCTAGACTTCATCGTTAGCAGTGACGTATAGCTAACAACCAAATTAATAATCGCACAATAATAAAAATAATATAAGATATCAATAATATATGATATATAATATAATATCTTACCTTTGCTATTAGATGACCATGTCTTAATGTAATCTGACAGAATACGTGTACACACTATGTAAAATATTTCATGCAACACAGCCTTGAAGTTTTTTTCTATATATATATATATATACCATACAAACTATGATTTTTGAGAGCAATTACCACTGATCATTGGAAGCTATATATAGCAGGTATATATATAGGTCTTTGCTTCTAACAACATACCTGCTATGACACAGCAAAAATACCTGCTATGAAATTGTGAACATAGAATTCTCTATAACACTATATATATGTAACATAGATCACACTATAAATAACTGGCATGAATCTACAATGGAAGAATTCTCTATACAGTGAAAGACCGAAAATCTGGACTACTCGGGGATTGGGTCAGTCCGGATTTTCGGAACTTCTGGATTCTCGGGAAGTACTTTTAAAATTTAAATTTAAGTAGGAATAAAAAAGAGATGAACAGGTAAATTTTGATAGTTTATTTATTATCAAATACAGCATGCTTCATTTATCAAAACGAGCAGTTTTAAAGAAAAATAAAGTCAACACTTGACAAAAATGTAAGCATAAAAATTTTCACTACAAAAAAAGCTTAATTCAAAATGTTTAAGCGCTTTCGAAAAGTCCAGGTTCTCGCGTGGTCCGGATTTCTGACATCCGGATTTTTGGACTACTGTAACACTATAGTGACTAAATACAATCTATATTTAAGAGGAATTACCATTAATGACATTATAGAACAAATATGTGGCATGAAACTATATAAGCATATTAAGCATATAATTCTCTAAAACACTGTACTTACAACCTATATTTGATACCAATGAGTATTATTAGTATTAATGATATCAGGAGTGTATAATAGAGAGGGATTGGGGGGGGGGGATTATACACTCCTGATGATATCACATTACAAATACCTGGCATGAATCCATTGAAGTCTAAATAGAAAATGGCATCATGTTTGCCGGCAGTGGTGAGGCCATTAGTGTCCGGACACTGTTGCAGTCTACAAGGCACATAGTAGCTTTTCACCCAATCCTTTTCCTCTTCGTCCATTAGCTGTAATGGGAGAAGTAGATTTTCCAGGAATTTTATCGAACTATAAAGGAAATCTACAAGGCTACCACCATTGCTGAAAGCACGTGCACAAACCATGTAAGGATTTTTCATACAAGCAACAGAACTGCCCACAAATCTGGCCATTAATTCCGTCGTGAATATTATACGTCAATAACCACAAATCAAACGCAAAACACAAAGCAGAGCAAAACAAAGCAAATTAAGCAAAGTGATTGTTCTCTCTCTGTGATGTGTGGTGAATGCGTGCGTGCGTGCGTGCGTGCTTGCTTGTGTGTGTATGTGCGCAAATGTGTGTGCGTCCACACACATATATAAACACATACATATACACATACACACATATAGGTACGTACATTGGTAGGTTGCTGCCGCTCACAGAGTAGATCGAACCTCTCCATGAAGCCTATGAGTGCAGACTTCTGTTCTATGATGTCAGCCCACATATGGTCTAGCAGACGGTCCTCTATGATTCCCTCACGCTCAAGCTTCCCCCATGAATCCATGAAATGTGGCCACTGCAAATGCGCGACAATCAGACTTTCTGCCATCCATACTTGATTACGTTGACGCCGCGCGTAAAACGTATGTACACAGGATCAAATATACAGTGCACAGGCACTTGGAACGTTTCAGTAGTAAAATGATGGTAAATAAACACGATATGTATTTACTACCAAAGTCTTAATGTTTCCAGCGAGGGCGTCTCACCTGCTCACTGAGGTCGGTGACCATAACAACGCGCCCCACAAGAAGACCTACCTGCTCCCTGAGGTCGGGGACCGTGATGACGTGCCCCACAAGATGACCTACCTGCTCACTGAGGTCGGGGACCGTGATGACGTGCCCCACAAGATGACCTACCTGCTCACTGAGGTCGGGGACCGTGATGACGTGCCCCACAAGATGACCTACCTGCTCACTGAGGTCGGTGACCGTGGCGATGCGCCCCGCGGTGCGACTCGCCTGCTCACTGAGGTCGGTGACCATAACAACGTGGCCCGCGAGGGTGACTCACCTGGTCATTGAGGTCGGTGACCGTGATGACGCGCCTGAAGACGTCGAGCAGCCACTGTGGCTGCAGTATGACGGTGTTGCGGAGGCAGTCGTCGATGGCGCCAACGCCGCCGACGTAGACGACGACGCCGAGGTCATGGTAGAAGTTGAGCATCGTCGCGAGGTCCTCCTCGAGTGCAATCTCCTCCTCCTGAACGATCTCCCTCATCTGCGATAAGAAACCGACCCCCCCGGCGGTCACTGGCTAGAGCCAGCTAGGCAGAGTGATGTGCTCGAAGGCTTCGCTACGATTCTAGTTGCAGCACGGTTTCTAAGGTACGGGTCAAGTTTGCGCGTCGATAACGACCGAGTTTAATTTCGTACTGGCTAATGGGAAATTTGTCCCTGATCCCTGTTCTCCCTAATCCGTGAGAAGCAGCCATAGCCATGTTATTCGTGGTCACAGAGTAACGGGCTTAGCAGCTATGGTTCTAGTCGCAACGCGGTTTCAACAGGGTATGGGTAACGTTTACGTGTCGATAACGAAGTGAGCTTAATTATAATCCCATACTGGTATAAGAAAATTTGGTCTGCTATCTGTTGGAGGCGAGATTGGCCGTGTTAGCCACGATCGCTTAATAACGAGCTTGACAGCCTTGCTATTATTCTAGCTGTAGCGCAGTTTTTTGTATGTATCAGTCAAGTCGCTAACAGCCGAGTTCAATGAGATACTGGTAAAAATTTTCATGACAACTAAGAACATTCTTACGGGAAGCGTAATCTCATACCCTTCTATATGTTATTCATGCAATCTCCCATCTTATGCTTACATTGATAGACATCCTGATCTTAAAGCATAAAACCTTTCTCCTGCGTCTTTCTATGTTACACCTGATACCATCTCCTACCTCCCGTACCCGTAGTATACTCATCAATTTTATGAATTACTGTTTCTTCACCCACAGTCAACTGAAACCATTTATTGTAAGCAAAATCGTTTTACATACTTGATGGAGCGAACAGTAGTTGACACCCTGGTTGACCAGTCGCGTGACTTCTCTCTCAAATTTCAGCCATTTTAAAGGAATCTGTTCACCCATGTATGGCTCTTTAATGGCCACGTCCACAATACGGCTCTTTAGCTTTGAAATCTACAAAACACGTACACAACAATTAAATGATTTTTAAGGAACCTCGGGTAATGTGGCCAGATCTACTGCAAGTATGACGCCTGGGGGGCCACTGACAGAAACATTGACATGTAATATAATTCTTATTGTACCTTGCCATTTTCTCTTATATAATAGTACTACCCACCATCACAGAGCTACAACGTTTCTGACAATGGTCCCCTGGTGGGTATCAATGATTGCAACCCCTCTATAGTCAAACATAGCAAACAAGCAGTAAAGATGCGAACAAATTGAGTGAAACCAGCATGAACATTTTTTGCTACACACAAAGTTACTTATATGGCTCGAGTTGTTCATGGCTTAGAAGGGGGAAAATGAATCATCAATGACTGCGTCACCAACTTTACGCAGGAACCTAAAGCTAAACACGTTCAATATAGTCACACGCACATATATGGACACACCCGTGCAAATCGAATAAAATTTAAAGGAAGCGGATGACATCACAATATCCTGAGGAAGGTAACGATATCGGAAGCGCTTGTAAACAGGAACTAATGGAACTCCATTTACGTAGTGAGAGAATTACCCGCCTAGACTACAAAAGCTGTGTACTAACCATTAGCGAGTCATAACCACAGCAGATAGGACTAACAGCATCAAAAAACCAAGACCCTTACAAACTGAAATGGGAGGCAAATTTAGCAAGCGTTCGGTCAACTACATGAGACGATATGGTAAGAAACTCATTGTTTACTTCTCAGATTACATAAGAAGTGTTTGTAAAACGGTGCACATTTTGACGCAGTTCACAATTAATTACTGCTAGCCATTCGTGTGACATATGAAAGAATGTGTACCAACTTTCATATGGAATTGAACACGCTGTTAAAATTACAGCATTTATGACCTGTCACCACTCTACCTGCGCACTCAAATAGCAATTTAACACGAAATTTCTGAAAACCCTTTTACATACTCCCACGTATCACGAAAATGTCAGTGTATTTATTCACCCACAGACGTGGGGGAAAGGCCTCACGAGTGCCCTTGTTTTGTACAGCTTTTAATTCAAATGTACGCTTTCACGAGGTAACCTTTTCGCATAGCAGGTATAGAAACGTTGCACAGAATATTACCCCAGAGCGTACGTAGCCTCGAATACTGTTTTGCCTTACACGTCCCATCCCCCCCCCCACCACCCACACGCCGTTCAGCATTCGCTACATAGAACCATCCACGGTTACGGCGGAAAATGTTTGCGACGATATCAGGAGTGTATAATATAGAGGAGTCTATATTACAGGAGTATACCGGAGTCTATATTACAGGCGTATACAGCAGTCTATATTACAGGCGTATACAGCAGCCTATATTACAGGCGTATACAGCAGTCTATATTACAGGCGTATATACAGGAGTATACAGCAGTATATACAGCAGTCTATATTACAGGAGTATACAGCAGTCTATATTACAGGCGTATACAGCAGTCTATATTACAGGAGTATACAGCAGTCTATATTACAGCAGTATATACAGCAGTCTATATTACAGGCGTATATACAGGAGTATACAGCAGTCTATATTACAGGCGTATATACAGGAGTATACAGCAGTCTATATTACAGGCGTATATACAGGAGTATACAGCAGTCTATATTACAGGCGTATACAGCAGTCTATATTACAGGAGTATACAGCAGTCTATATTACAGGCGTATACAGCAGTCTATATTACAGCAGTCTTTATTACAGAAGTATATACAGGAGTCTATATTACAGCAGTATATACAGCAGTCTATATTACAGGAGTATACAGCAGTCTATATTACAGGCGTATACAGCAGTATATACAGCAGTCTATATTACAGGAGTATACAGCAGTCTATATTACAGGAGTATACAGCAGTCTATATTACAGGAGTATACAGCAGTATATACAGCAGTCTATATTACAGGAGT